AACTGAAAATATATAGGTCCAATTGCACGAAAGTTCTTTCCTCGAGTCAAGGCTTAATCGTGTGTAGCACATCATTCCATCTTTGTCAATTGGTTAAAGTCAAAGAGAGATAGAATGCGGCTTAAATCTGATTAGCTTTTAAACTTGAATTAAGAACTTTGGTACAATTGGGCCTTATTAAACTAAATAAGTCCTGTCATTCAACTGTCGTCCTCCATTAACTTTTCATTTTGCAAGTATTGAGTTGAGCCAATTACATTATATGGATTACAAATATAATATTATTTTGAACACATAAATGAAGTGAGTGAAGTGTCATAGGAATTGCGTATTTATCCAAAGTTGCATAAATACGCTATTCCTATGACACTGTGATGTAAGTATGTATGGGTCAAGTCATATCGGTAACTAGATGATATGATATAAATAAAACGATGACACGAAAAGGAGTTTTAATATTAACTTATAAAGGTCAACATCCACTGTCAACAATTAATTCAATAGATATGTATTTTAACTAATGGTTTAATGTAACAATAATAAAATATATTATTACCAAAACTGTTATTTTGACAAAAACTACAAAAAAAAAACAATAAAACTTTATTTAACAATAATAAAATATATTATTACCAAAACTGTTATTTTGACAAAAACTACAAAAAAAAAACAATAAAACTTTATTGTTTTTTTTTTGTAGTTTTTGTCAAAATAACAGTTTTGGTAATAATATATTTTATTATTGTTACATTAAACCATTAGTTAAAATACATATCTATTGAATTAATTGTTGACAGTGGATGTTGACCTTTATAAGTTAATATTAAAACTCCTTTTCGTGTCATCGTTTTATTTATATCATATCATCTAGTTACCGATATGACTTGACCCATACATACTTACATCACAGTGTCATAGGAATAGCGTATTTATGCAACTTTGGATAAATACGCAATTCCTATGACACTTCACTCACTTCATTTATGTGTTCAAAATAATATTATATTTGTAATCCATATAATGTAATTGGCTCAACTCAATACTTGCAAAATGAAAAGTTAATGGAGGACGACAGTTGAATGACAGGACTTATTTAGTTTAATAAGGCCCAATTGTACCAAAGTTCTTAATTCAAGTTTAAAAGCTAATCAGATTTAAGCCGCATTCTATCTCTCTTTGACTTTAACCAATTGACAAAGATGGAATGATGTGCTACACACGATTAAGCCTTGACTCGAGGAAAGAACTTTCGTGCAATTGGACCTATATATTTTCAGTTAAAAAAATCGGCCAAGTGCGAGTCGGATTCGCGCAGGGACCCGTTGAACAAACCGTGGAAGGAAAAATAATTTATTTGTTATCATCACAATTTACAAAGTACATTATTATCGGTGGTTTCTTTTTTGTTTTGGGTTTTTTTTTTGTTTAAATACAGCATATGATGTCCCATTTACCAAAATTTTACATTTGTAACTAGTTTAGATTTTGAGATTGTCCCCGTAACAAAAATTGTCTAAAATTTAAACTTTGAAATAACACAGAAATGGGTTCTTTGTTATTGAAAATAAAATAAATATTTATATCCTACTCATTGAGCTCTAGACAATGATTTGTCACATGCTGGGGTAAATAAGAAAAATAAATTTTCGTCTCCTATTTATGAGACCCACATGAAAAATAATTTAAATGAATTTTAACTGAATATTTGGCTTTGGGGAAGCATTCTACATCTACATAAAATACCAAAATTTCTGTTCTGGAACTGATCCCGTTTACGATCTAGAGACGTGACATACGGACAGACGACAGAGTGACAGCAAAAGGGTTCCATTTTTACTCTTTGGGTGCGGGACCCTAAAAACGCTAAGGTTAAGGGCGTACTGCAAATAGCTTGCTTATCTTGGGCCGTACCTACTGAAGATTTCTCTCAGAGTTTAGAGTGTAAATACGGGTCTTAGAAGCAATCTTGTAGCACCCCTCAGATTCCAGTGGTCTAGAAACTCCAGATGGAGAGGAGACTCCCTCCGTGGGGAGATGCCATCCACTTGGAATACCTCTAGAGGCACTCGCTAATTCTCGGCTTGAGGTCCCTTTAGGATCTCGCTGTTCCCAAACCCGGTCACGCTGTAAAGGTCATCTGCGACCATCAGCATACACACAAAAAAAATCTATGTAGCTATGTTAGACACCTTGCTTGCAGTGTGGTGAACTGCATAAAGTGTGCAATATGTCTGTTCCATAATATTTATTATATCTGACAGAGTACCTAGGATCTTAGCACCTATAAAGTCAACAATAAGGAATAGTTCTGCCTAAGCCAAAAGGTGACCAATCAGTTATTATCTACTGAGAAAAATCGCTACTCTTAGATTATAATGAAGACATAATTCGATCTGCACTACGCTATGTGTGGCTATATTTTTAACCGACTTCAAAATGGAGAAAGTATTTAAAAATGTGATAGTTTGATTAAGTACGACAAAGGTATGCTTGCTAATCCTGGTATCACATTAAATCCATGTGATACTTGGATTGTAGCGCATACCAAAGAACACGCGCTGCTTGAAATCAGGCGGCCGTTAATTTCAGTCTAAATAAGAAATCAATTCTAAGTGTTAAAATTCTATACAAGTTTTCTATTATAATCCGATCCCCTATCACTTATAAATCCATATAATGTTTACTCGAGTTTTCCAATTCCATTCTATCCATTTATCTATTAACTTTGGTATACAGTTCCAGCTTCACAATGAACTAACGGCTATGAGTAAACAAACAGTTATTGTCTGAGCGTGACGCTGTTATTAATAGGTGACTATTTATAGTTGTATTGTCTTAAGAATCTGATTGAACAATACGTTCTATCAACACCGCGGTTGTGCCCTTAAATTACTTGCTGATTCGGTCACGTGACGTCATCCTTAGTACCGCTCGACTTGTACTGACATTTGGGATCTTGTGAGGTTGGGTTGAGTTTGATTGATATGTAATAATCCGAACTATCGAATAAAAAAATTGAGATTAAAGAAACAACTCATGAATCAGAATTGACAACTGGCAACTTTCGACTCACCTGCTTACGGAGCATAGAGAGAGTTTAAATTCAACTCATAAAGTCGGCTCATATAGTTTATTTTATATTGACATATAGACCAAAAAAATTCGACCTTTAATTTCATCTCTCAAAGAATACAAGTACGACGTACATCCTTTGAAAGATGAAATTAAAGGTCGACTTGTCATGTATTTTGTGAAATAGTATGCTTCTTTGTAAGGTTCTTTAGCGAAAGTGTGAATGTGTGTGGTATCAAACGCAGTAGTATTTGAACACATTAATTTACTTATTTCATGTATAAATAAATATATATAAATAAACATTGTCATAATTATAAAAATATCGACTTTCTGAACTCATTTTCAACATTGCCAACTCCTTCATGAGCAAAGTGTGCTTAATCACGAAAGTATTTTGTGAACTTCTAAGTTCAACCTACAGAAATCTAAAGAAGTATCCTATTTGTCAATCTTTCATTATTACAATCAAAGGTGTCAATATATGTGTTAATAATAAAAATATTTTTTTCCAACATTGTTGTGAACAATTAGCCTAGCCCCAAAGTAAGCACTGTAGGCTTGTGTTATGGGATACCAGGGTAACGGATTGAATACATATATAGGTACATATATAAGTATATTTATATAGGAAATACATATTAAACATCCATGACTGGAGTACAAATGCTCGTATTCATCACACAAACATCTGCCCCCACCGGGATTCTAACCCGGAACCTGTCGAGTTGGCGACACTATGAAACCTGGCGTACATACCACTCGGCCACGAAGGTCGTTAATAAACTATGTATATTGCTTCTTGCTTCATCAATTTTAATTACCTGGAATTCGATTGTAAAAGAAAAACACGTAATCTCGTACAGAAACATTTAATTTTCGATTCCTGGAATATGTCAATTTTTATACCACATTTATAAGGTGTCATCCTAATAGAATTTATATACCTACGCAATCGACGTTTGTTCGCATGAACTCTGTTCTTAGAAATCAAATCATAACATGCGAACGTCTATTGAACAGATTTTTCAATTATCCGAGAACCAACCAAAAAGAAAATTGCATATTTTTTCTTTGACGCAACATTAAAAATGAACATTTACGATAAATGAAAATAACTCTTCAACTTTTCCTTCCTTTTTTATAATAGGTATCAAATGAATATTTTTTCTCTAGAGATTGAAAAATCAGCTATAAGTCTACGTTCATTTGTTTGATCGCTAGTTCGTTTGATGATGCTTGTATTCAGTTAGGATGACACCTAACGCTAGGCTAAGAGGCTGAGAACATACGGCGCGATTTCTTATCGCGTCCGCCGCGGCTGCGGGACCGCAACTCGCGTAGAAACTAAAATTGTAGGTAAAACACAAGAGCAAAACTAACAGCATTTCGCCCGATGCCGCTGCGGTCTCATACATTTGTAAATAAATCAGTTCTTCGAGCAGGTGGGGGGAAAAACGGCTCCTTGAGTTTTTAGCCTAATACTACTATTTATAAATAAATAAGTATATTCAACACTCACACCAATTAGCCTATCCCCAAAGTAAGATACTAGGGTAACGAATAGAATACATATACTAAAACATGTATAAGTATATTAATATAGAAATACTTGCTTAGTTAATAAAAAATCTCTCTCTCTCTCTCTCTCTCTCTCGCTCTCTCTCTCAAATACTTATTAAACATGGACTGGAGTACAAATGCTCGTATTCATCACACAAACACCTGTCCCCACAGGGATTCGAATCCAGGACCTCTCAAGCAGGCGACACCTTGAAACTCGGAGTACAAACCACTCGGTCACGGAGATCGTTTATTTTTCTGCTTTTTTAAATGTACATAATCATGACATCACCAAATGTGCTCCAATTCGAGCATTAATTGCCCTCTTGCTGGCCTATATATTAATTAATATTTTTTGATTACAGGGAAGCAAATGCATGGAGGTAAGATACGGCCAATGCCTGGACGACGAAGAAACCATAGCGAAGAGAAAACTAAAAAGTAATTAACATTTAGCATAATGGCGCGATTACACTTGGTTGTTAGCCCGAATACGGGTGACAATGGAATTCGGGCCCGTATTGGGGTAGATTTCGTTTTGGTTACCCGATACCGCCTTCCAGTCCGTATTTCAGTGTAAATATTGCTTCGGGTGCCAGAATTCGAGTAATCTTCTAAGTTAGTTTATTGGTTCAATGTTAATAATTTATGCTACATTAAGGGAACACGCTATGTGTTTGAAATTTGTATTACACACATGTATAACAGGTAAAAATCAATGTAAACATAAAGGATCGAAATTTGAGACTTGTAGATACCACAGTGTTCTTAGATATCACACTAGATTCTAAACTGCAATGGGGCCCACCTTTTGATAAGTTGTCAAAGAGACTTAGTTCTGCAGCATATGCTGTAATAAAAATACGTCAGTAAACGGATATAGAAACTGCTAGATTAGTCTACTTTAGTTATTTTCGAAGTGTAATGTCTTACGGTATTTTACTGTGGGGAAATGCTGCCGACATTCAAATTTATTTGTGTTGCAGAAGAGGATTATTCGATCAATCTATAATCTTCAATGTTATCCTAATGGGCAGTCATGATCTCTTAAAAGTCTCTTTGGTGGTCGTTACGTTCCCTAAATTATAGTTGGGCAAAGCGAATGCTGGTTCATGCGTCATACTCGTGAATGGGTGCTGCCAGCAGAGACGAGTCTGCCCTAACTACTTTGATATTGAAAATGTCAATGTACCTTCCTAATATAAATAACATTATTTGTATGTATACTGTATGACACAGCAATTAAAATGCAGATGAATAAATATATATTTAACATTATGTAATGAAAGGTGACTTCATGAATCTCTCCGAAGACGACTCTGTAAATAATAAAACAGGGAGAAAACTCAGCCCTTGCTGAGTTTCTTGCCGGTTCTTCTCAGCACAAGGTCTCAGTAGGATGGCGTAGCTTCTAGGCATTCATGAGTGCTTGTAACAGCCTAAACTGAATAAATGATTTTGATTATGATTATGTCTTTCGTGCACCCGAATACGGGCTAGCGACTAAATGTAATTGCGCTATAGGAGATGTAAGAATATTTATTTATATTAATCTTAAGTGCTCTCTAAGTTACCTTATTTTAATGAACTACAACATTGTAAAACGGCATTATAAATAAACGTAGTGGGTAAATTTTTGTATTCTTTATCCGTTATCTTATACTCTATTGAACTTTCTCTGAGACAATAGGCGTTTATAAAATTATTCAATAGGAAAAATATGAATTTATATGCATATAATAAATAAATAATAATAAATATTTCCAACAATCACACCAATTAGCCTAGTTCCAAAGTAAGCACTGTAAGGCTTGTGTTATGCGATGCTAGGGTACTGGATAAAATTCATATACTGTACATATATAACTATATTTATATATAATTACATATTAAACATCCATGAATGGAACACAAATGCTCGTATTCATCACACAAACATCTGCCCCCACTGGGATTCGAACCCGGGACCTCTTGATTCGGCGACACCGTGAATCTCGGCATACAAACAACCCAGCCACGAAGGTCATCAATATGAAATCATAATTTAAAAAAATATATTAAACAGATCTAAAACTATAATTATCCCCAAACTTTGAACTCATCATAATACTACTAAATTGAATAGTAGTGATAAAGCAAATTATTAACGTAGAAATGTAAAATTATGTAATCAGTCTGGTAACGCCGGCAATTTTTACTCTCGATAGAGTTTTTGGCGGGATTTCATCGAGTGCGGTTGGCGTCTTATTTTAATTATTGTTAAATTCGTTCATAGTGGATATTGTGAAATAAATTTGGTGTGATTTTGTGTTACAATCGTCTGCGCAACTGAAGAATTAGTGGAATCTTTAAAATATAAGCTATTCCGGTCAAGTGGACGTAAGAACTTTATTGTAGTGTTGACTACCTCACAGAAGCTTAAACAAAAGCCGCACAGTGTAACGGTCATTTTAAATTCAAATATTCGAATGAAATATTTTTTCATATTATTTTCTTGTATGCGAACTAGTGATTAGTTTTTGTTTATTCTAAAGCAAATTTAATGTACATTTTGATAAAAGAAACTGTTTATCAAAATTGTAAATACTTTTCGTTTTATCGACATAAAACTGAGATGACTGCTTTGTAGGCGATTTTAAAATGCCTTGTTGTAAGTTCTTAAAACTATAAAAATAAAAAGTACTATTCATGCCACACTTGTTTCTAAAGTGATGTTTACAATCTTAACTAACCGTAAACCCATAAATCATGGCTGTAGACTGCCCGTCTAATCTTTATCGCGTACTTGAAACCCGACACCGGTTTTTTCTAACGCGTGTTTGTTTACGCATCTGGCGCGTGGATTGTGAGAGCTATAGTGTAAAGTTTAATTGTGGGAGTATGGTATTTTATGATTTTATTTGGTAAGTTATAATAGAATGTGCAAAAAACCAAAAAACCTGGACATGAAATTTTAAAATTTTGATGATATACTCCATTTTACCCATCTGAACGCCTTTTTTATCTTTCCCGAGTTTATCGTAACGTAATTAAAATAGATTATAGACATGACGCATTGTGTAGACGCTGTATAGTAAATTTTATGGAGAATCCAAATATATATAGTTTGTGTGATGTATTCTTACGAAATAAAAGAGAAATCGGCAAAACAATGCAATCGTTCCCACCCAGCGGGAATGTTGACAGATGACGTAATCAACTTTGACGTAAAACGGCGCATGACCATCAGCAACTGAGAGGATGTAAAAAAAGAAGCTTAAAATAACTTAGGACTTGGCTGTATGGGCATTGTTACCTTTGCCTTTCCTGAAAAGGGAGAATCTTAAATAATAAAAGAAAATGGGTGCGTGTACTTATGTAGGCGCGTGAGAAGTTATCCTTCTTTGGCATCGTTTAAAATTAGTTTTTAATTGCATGCAAATAATTACAATAAATTAATAAAGTCTGGAAAAGGACGAAGTCAATAAAGTTCAGTTTTAATTTGAAAAAATAAATTAATAATCAAAATATTCAATTAAAATCGCTACTGAATATAATTTATTAGAACATATGTGATTTGCACTTGTATGAAACTCAAACACGTATTCCGAATATACAAACTAGAAACATGTGGATAAATATTATAAATATGAATACCTATAACTGTTACTTTATTACAAAAAATAAAGATGTGGTTTTTGGTTCTACTACACCAATGGTCAAGAGATGGCGCTGTAGTCTCCTGAATCGCGCTTTGGTTCCGTTGTTCCAGATTAATAAATACTTTTTGTTACTTTATTACAAAAAATAAAGATGTGGTTTTTGGTTCTACTACACCAATGGTCAAGAGATGGCGCTGTAGTCTCCTGAATCGCGCTTTGGTTCCGTTGTTCCAGATTAATAAATACTTTTGATAGGCCTTCACAATGCAGTCGTTAGCACCCACTAAATAGAGATTCTATTTCTATTTTGTTGGTAGATTTTCTTAATGTGCGGTAAACAAAAGTAACGCATGAAGTTGGTCGCTAACAGTGATGCGCGCGCATCTTAAAATTTCACTCTCATAATTTTTTCATAACGCGCCTAAAGAAGTATAACTTCAAAAAATACTCTCGATAAAAAAAGTTTGCCTCCTCTGAGACAAAGTAGTGGTGGGCGTTTCAAACTGTAACTAGTTTTTGAACCCGCTATCGGTTCAGTAGCAGCTTTTGCGTTTTGATTGTCAAATTAAACTATCTATTACCAATAGCATGTTCTTCTCCGAACACATTGAAGTTGTCAGTTTTTGAATACAAAGTCTCACAGTAAGGCTACATTTTATTTTAGTAGTATCAGAAGCAGCTCTTTGGTTCGGAAACATTCGGATGATTTCGGGCTAACGGGTTTGTCAATCAATTCATTTTGAATTTGATCTGTCCATGTCTTTTTGTTTTGACCACAACAGTTAAATTTAACTTGAGCGAGTGAGTGACGTACTTTAAATAGTTTTGTATATTAAAATTAGTGTATAAATAGTGTAAATAAATAAATTTATCTGTAAATAGTATTGAATAAGTGCTAGTAGTGAACAAGAACAATGGAAAATTATGTTTTTAATTTACCATTTATCTATACACTACAATAATTTACAATATTTTTTTCATTTACAATAATTTGCAGCCAGTCCTAAGCCTGAACAAAATATGAATGGAAGTTCATCGATAATGTTCTTCAGAATCACCCCATAAGCCTTTAAAGATCAAAATCATGCCATATAACTAATAATAAGTTTAAAACCAAAAACCCGTAATCGCGTCTACGGTACTGAGTAACGAATTTTGTTCAAATGCTATTAAAAAGCTGCTACTGAGAATAAATAATTTTAGAAACTGCTACTGGTATTCTAAAACTTTTATCGTTTCGTTTCGCAAATAACCTGCTACTGCCCACTACTAAGACAAAGTGACCTTTTGTTAGGTTGAATAGAGAATGAAATTGAGATGAAAATAAATAATATCATATAAAAACTTTCTCATCTAGAGTTCTTTCGAGTTTTGAAAGCCGCTATGCTGTTGCTCTCAGCTATATCTACAGTCTTTGGTACCCACCAACATGCACTGGGCTTGCGTGAAGGATTATGATACCTTTTAAATGATTTTGTAGGTATCAATGGGGAAGGCTGTACTCACGTGAATTACTTTTTAATGTTACAAAGGTAAGCATGGTAAGCGGCATGGTTAGTGTTGCTTGCGATACTAAAAATATCACAGAATACAGATAGAGTTTAGAAGGGTGGTCATAGATCTTTTGTACGGGAACCGATGTCGCCAGCTCTGTCCCACTACACTTCCACTTAATAGATAATAGCCAATCAATAGACGCGGCATCAAAAAATCAAACCAATCAGCGCTCTCACCCGAGAGCAACGGCGCAATTAGAATAAGTTTTGGTCAAGCTATGAGCATTTGCTCACACGTAACTGTGGCGCACCTGCCTCGCCCACAAGGCCCTTTCAACTTCTTTCTGTTTTCTGTGCTCGTACCATTGCCTATCATGACCCGGCTCTAACGCCGTTAAGCCCTGGAACGTCACTCACCTACTTCTATAGGTAACACTAACTTTTTGTAGTGTTGTTTGTAAATCCGCAATGCGCTACCTCTCTTAAATGCGCCGATGAATACTATAATCAGGAAATCTCAAGATGATATTATAATAATGCACTTGCGCCATTGGGCTCCATAATTTGCAAGGTGCAAATTATGGAGCCCAATGGCGCAAGTGCTTAGCGGTCTGCGATTGTGGAAGTAAAGCAACATTCAAAATGTCTGGTCATCGGAGGGATGACCAAAAATTTATCATCCCGACCTCCTTCATGTAATGGAAAGCACTTTAAGCTATTTTTCGCTGCTGCATTTAGAACCGTTAGCACTCAATAATCCGCATTGGGTCCACGTGGTGGCACAATTTACCTATCCCATCCATACGGAGTGGACACAATACGGAGTGGGACATTAATAGACTGATGATAATTATAATGATCTTGCAGGTTTAAAATGAAAATGGTAAGTAAGTAGTTTATTAAGTTGTGTATTAATGCATCATGAAAATATTAACCCCCTAAAATAGGAAACGAAATGTTGATTTGACAATATTAATCATTGATGATAAAACGAACTTTCCAGTGTGTGAAGTTCAACCATAATTATAGAAGATATTATAACTAAAGAAAATATAACTAGAAAAAAACCCACGCAGACCAGGCAGCAGACGGGACTCGAACCCGCGCCCTTCGCTATCCGGGCGAATACACTGACCAATTATGCTACCGCGGCCCTGATGGCTGCGTCAAAATTCTTCTAGCCATTCTTAAGCTGCAAGGCAGCGCCATCTCTTCGGATTGTAGGTAACCCACAATATAATATAGGTATGTTAGTATTATTTACGCTTGTAGTACCACATCCAAGTGTTACGATTTAGTACAATAGCTAAGAGTTCCTACCATAAGGTTTTCAAAAATGATGCATCGAACGCGCCCTCGGACGTGTGACTGGATTTTCTTAGGCATTTTTAAAGAAAGAAGTAAAAATATCGTTATTCATGTAATTTTAGTTGCCAAATTTTTGGAACAAATGTATGTCATCTCCTTATAGCTTAAGAAGTTAACAAA